GAAGAGGAGGAGTGAGACAGGAGAGGAGGAGTGAGACAGGAGAGGAGTGAGACCGAAGAGAAGGAGTGAGACAGGAGAGGAGGAGTGAGACAGGAGAGGAGTGAGACAGGAGAGGAGGAGTGAGACAAGAGAGGAGTGAGACCGAAGAGAAGGAGTGAGACCGGAGTGGAGTGAGACCGAAGAGAAGGAGTGAGACAGGAGAGGAGGAGTGAGACCGGAGTGGAGGAGTGAGACAGGAGAGGAGTGAGACCGAAGAGAAGGAGTGAGACAGGAGAGGAGGAGTGAGACCGGAGAGGAGGAGTGAGACAGGAGAGGAGTGAGACCGAAGAGAAGGAGTGAGACAGGAGAGGAGGAGTGAGACAGGAGAGGAGGAGTGAGACAGGAGAGGAGGAGTGAGACAGGGAAAAACAAAAATTACAGGTATGAGTCCCCCTTCCTGTCAGCCATGATAAAACCTCATGTGTTAGCTGATCTTGATAAATTGCCATATTAGTTAAAAGTAAACATATCACATGTTTAAACCATATAAGTTTGAGCTGGATCACATAAACAGTGACAACAGTATAACAAAAATAAAGCCGGGCAAAAAAACACTTTGGTACCTCAAAAACAGTTTTTCTTCCAAATAAATCCTAGAGCAGTTTTTGAATCCGTTTACTTTTTCTTTGCAAGGTGGGGCATCTAACTGAGCATGTACAGTGTGAGTGTCATCACTTTAGCTTGTTTCTGTTTGGAGACGTGTTGCAACCGTCCCTTGTTGCTATTGTCCCCGGCCTCCCCTACATATATGTACATGTAATCCTCTGTTTAGTATGAAATAACTGAAAACTGCAATTTTTTAATGGGCTTGATTGATAGAAATTTGCCTTTACAGTTCTTTTGTAGTAATATGCTGGTTTTAACAATGTATATGCAGACAGAAGATGGTGATTGTGAGGGTAAAACKCTCTCTGTGTATGTGGTGGGGGTGGTGATTTGGGTGCTAACCCAAAGCTGGACCATTCGTTCACATTTGACAAAAGTTTTAATATGTTTAAAAAAACAGACATACTGTATGCATTGGTTCTTTAGAGGTTGTATGAAATCAAAGTGTTTTTGTTCCGAGTTCCTGGGGCTTGCAAGAGCAGATGACCTGTTGCTGATAGTACTGGAGAAGGGTATGAACTCATCCTACACACAGTAATGAAATCACTTCTTTGTCTTAAGGGTTAAATAAAAATTAATTGTATATAGGTCAGCGTTTAATTGAGGCAAAGAAGTAACTATGTATCCATTAACTTTAATAATACGTTAAAAAGGTTTCTACTACAGTTGCAGCTTGAAGTCGTGTTGGCATTAAAAAGTATTGGGACAGTATTAAAAAGGTATTAAATTTAACTTAAGATTTTCTGTATATACCCTGTTACAAGATTATTTGCCAGTTTTGTTTACATTGGTGGGATGCCAGATGATGCTCAGGCTTGTTTTTTGCACAATGTGAAAACCTGAAGACAGTACAGTATCTCACTGGGCTGTAACACTTGGGGAATTGTTAGTAACATTAAATTGCTTAAAAATACGCAAATTTTCCCTTTGAATCACATCAAACTGAGACACATGCGTATGTCACACAAATGTCAAAACTACAAGTGTAATTTGGATCAAAGTTTGTGAGATGCAAGTCCTCACAACTTTTGTACTACATTATGACTGCAAAATCACATGGAGCATGTAGCATGAGTTTCTCATTGTTTCTGTAATCAGTCACAGTTTAGCTTCATAGGTTGGCCCCCTCCTTCACAAAGATGTCTCACATATTTTGCATTTTCTGACTCTCAGGAACTGAATAGAGAAGTGTTCTGCCCGTAATGATTTTGAGACAAAACACTCATATGCAAATGGTTTGAACATGTTCAAAATTCCTGCAACACGAGAGCAACACACTGCAAATCAAAAGAAAATTGAGAACCTGCCCCAAGAAACATTTAACTCCCATTCAAATGCTGTTCGCAGTTTGTCTCCCAACAGTTGCAGCTCAGTGAGACACTGGCTAAAAAGCCCAAGGCTGAGGAAACCACCTGCAGTGTTGTCCAGTCGAACTGTGTCTGTAAAACATTTTGAACAGCTACACCCGAGTTGATCTCCGTGAGTCTATCCAGAACCAGAATGCACTCATCGGCTCGTTGTTTCACCTGGAAAAGAGCATAAAGAATCTGAACTTACTCAAGTGAAATAAATGGTAAATGGCTTGAACTTATTAYGATGACGCTCATTCTAGTCCCAAAAAAATCTAATCTAAAGCCAAATTGGGTTAGGTCGAAGTTCCAATGTTCTGTGTGAGTGTACGTACGTTTTTTTAAATTTTATTTTTAAGAAGCCTCTTGAATGTCATCCTATTTTTAATAATATTTTATGTTCATTGTGAATGAATCACGAGTACAATGTTTTCTATTGAATGTTGTACTAAAACATAATAAAAATTTGACCAAAGTATAATTTAAGAAGTTATAATTTAATTTATATATTTATGAAATTACAACTTCTTAAATATATACTTTTATGTAAAGGGATTATAAAGGCGCATAATTTTAATATTTGAATGTCTGGAAAAAAAACTGGCATAAATTGGATCATTCATGTTAACTACCATTGCTAATACTTTTTTATGAACTTGTGTATAATGCTGCTTTATATTTTATTTATAAATACACGTAAATGTAACCGTGTATATATTATTGCTTTACCTGTCTGCATAACCTTATTTTTTATATGAAAGTCCATTAAAACTATTCCATTATATAACATCACTCACATTTACAACAAAACAGCAGTTTTGCGCATTGTTTGAGCTTCCAATTGTTGAACAACACTGATAACACTTTTCAGCAGAATGACTTGGTCTGTCAATCAAGAGGGCGGAGCCAGTTGATTGGTTGGCTGCGTCTTTACTCAAACAAAAGTAATCACATACTGATATTGAATTACAGTGGTTTGCATAAGTATTCATACCCCTTGAACTTTTCCATATTTTGTCACATTACAACCACAAACATAAATATATTTCACTGGA